TACATGCACATGGGTACAGGCGCGTGGGTACAGGCGCATGGGTACAGATAAGGGCTACAGAAGGGCTACAGAAAAAGATCTAAAGGATGAATATGGAAAAGGGCTACAGAAGGGCTACAGAAAAAGATCTAATGTATGAATATGGAAAAGGGCTACAGAAGGGCTACAGAAAAAATCTAATGTATGAATATGGAAAAGGGCTACAGAAGGGCTACAGAAAAAATCTAATGTATGAATATGGAAAAGGGCTACATAAAAAATGTGCAAAACTGATACAGAAAACGGCACAGGAGCAGCCAAATATGCACATAGGAAAACACAGAAAAAGATTCAAAAATTCTAAAGTACGTTTTTAATATCAGTTGGTACTTTAGATAAATGTCTTACTATGGGTATGGAATAAATTGTAATTTTAATTATAATTTATTTGTGTTTTTATTATATAGATACATGTAACAATGAATTAAATATATTTGTTTGTTTATTACATGTGCATATATATAAAAGGAATAAACTGCATTTGTTTTTGTTTTTTTTTTTTTTTTTTTGTGTTTAATTAATTACTTGAATTTTTTACATGAATAAATATATAATATGGATATTTTACTATTAAGTATAATATTCCATATTATTTCTAAGTTTTGTCTTAGATAACATTTGTTTTTAATTTAGGTGTTTAGGATTTAAAAGGATTTAACTATATTATCATAATTATAGTTAATTCTTTGGAAGTTTGACCATTCAGAACGTGTATATAACAATCCTTTTGTTATAAGAAGACAGGATTGTTTTTATAATCCCATATGTATGAAGATAATGTAGGTAAAAGCATTTTATAATTCTTATTATAATAATGAAAAAAAAAAAAGAAAAAAAAAGAAAAAAAAAGAAAAAAAAAGAAAAAAAAGAAAAAAAAAAAAAAAAAAAAAAAAAAAAAAAAAAAAAAAAAAAAAAAAAAAAAAAAAAAAAAAAGAAAAAATAAAAAATAAAAAAAAAATAAAAAATAAAAAAGAAAAAGAAAAAAAAAGAAAAAAAAAAGAAAAAAAAAGAAAAAAAAAGAAAAAAAAAAGAAAAAAAAAATAAAAAAAAAAAAAAAAAAAGAAAAAAGAAAAATAAAAAGTAAAAAGTAAAAAGTAAAAAATAAACTTATATATATGTATGCATAATTTTTAATTTATGCATATATACGTGTTCATATACATTTTATTTTATTCTTATGTTATAGTGTTGCATATACAAAATAAAGTTTATTCATCTAATGTGTAAAGAGGTGAATAAACTTTTATGTTTGATGATATTGTATTTTAATTTATGTAAATAATTAAAATATAATATATATATGAAATGTATGTTATTATGAAATGTTGTATAAATAGTGTTTGTATAATTTTATATTATGTTGTGTATATTTATTGTTGAAAATAAAAAGAAATATATATGTCTGTCTTTATAAATAATTTATTGTTTCATGAATGAATATATCATTATTAATAGCGTAAAGTATATAATTAGAATTTACATGAATAAATATTTTTTTTTAATAAGTCTTAAATTCATAATTAAATGTGTTACATGAATAAATATTTTTTTTTAATAAGTCTTAAATTCGTCATTAAATGTGTTTACATGAATAAATATTTTTTTTTAATAAGTCTTAAATTCATAATTAAATGTGTTACATGAATAAATATATTTTTTTTAATAAGTCTTAAATTCATAATTAAATGTGTTTACATAAATAAATATTTTTTTAATAAGTCTTAAATTCATAATTAAATGTGTTACATAAATAAATATTTTTTTAATAAGTTTTATATTTATAATTAATAATTACATGAATAAATATATTTTGTTTTTAATAAGTCTTAAATTTATAATTAATAATTACATGAATAAATATTTTTTTAATAAGTCTTAAATTTATAATTAATAATTACATGAATAAATACTTCATAATAAAACTTAAATATATAACTAAATGTGTTACATGAATAAATATTTTTTTAATAAGTCTTAAATTTATAATTAATAATTACATGAATAAATACTTCTTAATAAAACTTAAATATATAACTAAATGTGTTACATGAATAAATATTTTTTTAATAAGACTTAAATATATAACTAAATGTGTTACATGAATAAATATTTTTTTTAATAAGACTTAAATATATAAAATTAATAATTACATGAATAAATATTTTTTTTAATAAGACTTAAATATATAAAATTAATAATTACATGAATAAATATTTTTTTTAATAAGACTTAAATATATAAAATTAATAATTACATGAATAAATATTTTTTTTAATAAGACTTAAATTTATAATTAAATGTGTTACATGAATAAGTATGTTTTTAATAAGACTTAAATTTATAATTAATTGCGTTACATGAATAAATATTTTTTTAATAAGACTTAAATTTATAATTAAATGTGTTACATGAATAAGTATGTTTTTAATAAGACTTAAATTTATAATTAAATGTGTTACATGAATAAGTATGTTTTTAATAAGACTTAAATTTATAATTAAATGTGTTACATGAATAAATATGTGCAGTTTTAGAAGTAAAAAGTGACGCTAAATTATTATATTAATAATGATATATTGAAGATTAAATAAGAAGATACCGGAGCAATAATGACAAGACAAATAAATAATAGTATATATATATATATATATATATATATATTAACACTTATAATTTTATTATAACTATTATAAGATTTATTAAGAATTTCTTTTTCCTATTACATATAATATGTTCATTTTATTTTATTTTATTTTTAATTTTTATTTTAACTTTAATTTTTATTTTTATTTCAATTTTTATTTATTATTATTATTATTTTATTATTTTTTATTTTTTATAATTAAACAACTAAAAACTATAAATATTTTTTTTTTTATATGTATATTTAATAAATTATAATATTAAAATTAATTTTCTCTTTTAAAAATAAATAAGAATTTTAAAAAAAACTTTTGTTAAAAATCAAAAGGCAAATATTTCAATTTCAAGTATAATTTCTTTTCCTACTTTTCTTTTATCATTTATAATATTTTTCCTCAATATAAATATATATATATATATATATATATATATATTTAGGGTTTAATGTTAAGTTTATTCATTACGATTTAATATTACGGTTTTAATGTTATGTTTATTCATTACGATTTAATATCAGGGTTTTAATTTTAAGTCTATTCTTTACGATTTAATATTACGGTTTTAAATGTTATGTTTATTCATTACGATTTAATATTACGGTTTTAATGTTATGTTTATTCATTACGATTTAATATCAGGGTTTTAATTTTAAGTCTATTCTTTACGATTTAATATTACGGTTTTAAATGTTATGTTTATTCATTACGATTTAATATTACGGTTTTAATGTTATGTTTTTTTTTTAGGGTTTAGGGTATAGTTTAATTTTAGGTCTATATATTTAAAGATTACATTTTAGTTTTTATACTTATATTTAAAGATTACATTTTAGTGTTTTTACATATATTTAAAGATTACATTTTAGTGTTTTTACATATATTTAAAGATTACATTTTAGTGTTTTTACATATATTTAAAGATTACATTTTAGTGTTTATACATATATTTAAAGGTTACATTTTAGTGTTTATACATATATTTAAAGATTACATTTTAGTGTTTATACATATATTTAAAGATTACATTTTAGTGTTTATACATATATTTAAAGATTACATTTTAGTGTTTATACATATATTTAAAGATTACATTTTATTTTAATTTTTTTTTCTTTTGGTAGAATTTTTAAATAAATTGGAAAAAGCGAGAAAAAAGTGCTATATAAAAAATGTAAAAAAAATAGACCATTTCGTCTAAATTTTCATTTCACATAGAGATGTAAGTTTTTTTGAAGAGAAAAATAAAGAAAATACTTTAATTAAAAAAAATATTATTAAAGTATTAAGTTAATCAAAATAATTTATAACATCTTTAATAACATCGAGTATATGAATTTGAATTAGAAATTAATATGTGTATTCACATAATATATAAATAGGAAATATATATTGTATATATATATAAACAATTTTTTAATTATTATCAACATTTTACATTTTATATTTAATAATATTATCATTTATTGAAACTACTTTTTCTATCTTAAATATGTATAAATATATTTAAATATATTTATAATGGACGGTTAGAAAATTTTGGCATAATCTTAACGACGGATGTCTTGGTTCTTGCAGCGATGAAGGCCGCAGCAAAATGCGATAAGCAATGAAAATTGCAATTACTGTGTATCATCAGAATGCTGAATATAAACTATACCTTTATCTTTTTACGAGGATTGAAAAAGGGATTCTTATATTGAATGAACATAGTATATACATAGCTTATAATTTTATAAGTTGTAATGCGTTTAAATTACACCACACAACATAAATTTACTAATATTTATATTAGTAAGTATATATCAATTTTTTTTTCCTATATATTTTATATTATATTACATCATATTGTATTGCATTATATTATATTATATTATATTTTTTTTTTTATCTTTTTTTATAATTTTGTATATTATTATATGTATATATTTTTTGTTCGTTCTGCTTCTCTTTCTTTTTCTCTTTTACTTATTTTCTCATAACTAAATATATAATCTTTTTTCTTTTTGCTTATTTTCTCATAACTAGACATATAATCTTTTTCCTTTTTTCTTATTTTCTCATAACTAGACATATAATCTTTTTCTTTTTTTCTTATTTTTTCATACCCACATATATAATCTTTTTTTTTTTTTTTTCATATTTTATCATAACTAGACATATAACCTTTTTTCTTTTTTCATATTTTATTATAACTAGACTTATAATTTTTTTTTTTTTTTTTTATTTTTTTATACCTACATATATATATAATCTTTTTTCTTTTTTCATATTTTATTATAACTAGACTTATAATTTTTTTTATTATTTTTTTATTTTTTTATACCTACATATATATATAATCTTTGTTCTTTTTTCATATTTTATTATAACTAGACTTATAATTTTTTTATTTTTATACCTACAT